CAGCTAACGTGAGAGCGGTGGCTGCGTTAACTGTCCGTGTGCAGCTGCAGTCCGACAGTTGCTTTTGAGCTGGCTGCAGCGCTGCTGCCTTCCCCCGTACTTCACTTACCCCACTCCCTCTTTCCTGTCCCCTCTCCTTTGCTGGTGCCAGCGCTCACGTAGCCCCGTGGCAAGCCAGAACCAAATCAGGCAGCTAATCCAAGCCAAAAGGGATCAATATGTTTCGTCAGATCAATTTTCTGTTCCAGGTGACTGCTGAAAGCCTTGAGCTGACCCGGGGAAGGTGGATGAGAGGGGCACAGGACCGCGCGCTCTCTCTTTTGTTGGTCTGTGCTCTGTAGTAGCTGAGAGCGTGGAAAGGGAGGCAGAGGCTTTAAGGCCAAGTAATAACAGCCCCCTAGAGAATTGGTCTGAGTAGCTGGGACTTCCTTGTCAGTTTTATTACTTTAACCTCTTCTTATATTCTGTTTGGGAGTGTGTGATAAAGGTCACTCTGGTTATTTCCCAAAAGGGACAGGCAGTGCAGCTTCCACAAGTAGAATGTCACCCAAGTTGAAGTACATACTGGGTTTACCAGTGCAGTAGCAGGGGTATGAAATGAAACAGTAGAGGCTTTGCTAATAATAATTTACAGGGAATATCTGTGCTGTGTTGTGACTAATTAGTAAGGATTGCCCTTTGTAAATGAGTTGGATGCACCAGCAGGGCTGAATTTGGCGTACTTAAAATAAACAGATTTTTTTTGTGGTTGTCTTTTCTTTATTTTTTTTTTTTTTTTAATAAACAAAAAGACACTGTAGAATAGTATTGATGATAACTAGGTGTTTGTTAGGCTACATTGTAAGAGCTCTCCAGCAGGCTGTGTGAATCTTCCCAACATGTGTTTTCCCTTAGCTGTCTCTAGCATTGGCTCTTGTCAGGGCCCTGGGTACACTGGTGGACACCGATGGCCCTGACAAGCCTCACCTGCAGCCTCTACCCACACCCCTTGCCCATGGGCTGAAGCCCGTGTCAACTGATCCAAATCTAGAAGTGAGTCTTCAAAGAGTGTAGGCCAGTGGTCTCCAGATGTTTTTGATTACACACCGGTATTGCTAAAAGTTTTTTGAGCATACACCTCCAATGTATGTATATTTATTTACAAATTATATGCATGTACTACTAAGGTTCTAGTATTTTCTTCCTGCACCCCAATGGATTGTCTTGCATGCACCCCCTGGGAAGCACGTACCCTGCTTTGGAGACCAGTGATCTATGATATGTTATCTCTAATCCTCTAATTCCACTCATTGTGTCAAGTTTTATTTTCAAGCTGTCTTGCTTTAATATGGTTTATACCCATTGCCTATATCAGTTTGTCCCACTATATATTAACAAACAGTGAGGAGGACAGAATTTGTATAACTTGTGTACAGAAAATTTGAAAAGACAGTCGTTGAGAAAAGCAGCAAACTCTCCTGCCGTTTGTGCTGTAGAAAACTAGTTAGGAAAATTTCGCAGGATAGGCTTGCTTTTGTTAACACACTTTTAGATGATCATCTGTGTCAAGGTCATGTAGCTAAAGTAGCTCTCTTTTCTAAATAGACTGAACGAGTGGTTGCCTTTGGGTGTGCAAGGACTTGGTCTGACTGTGCACCTCGTCTTTTACTGTCCTGAAGTTAACAGGACACTAATCCTCATCTGTTAAAAATGCGTTTTAACTAATCTGCATCAGTTAAAAAGATTTAAACCTGCAGTTACATGGTTATGTAGATCTTGGGTACGTGTGATGAAATAGGAACAGAATTTATTCTAAATAGGTAGGTTTGTGGCTTGGTTGTGATCTTGATTGTTCTTTCACAGTGCTATATGTGCTGTTTAAATTCTTGTTGATCCCGTGATATTTCACAAAAGCACTGCCATGCACCATCATGTTAGTGTAGTGTTACCTAGCCATCATTTGTGGGGATACTGAGATGGTAGCGGTCTGTGTGTGCTTTATTTTCCATTTTCAAGAAGTGGGAGCATGTAGCACCTTAGGCTGCGAACACTGATCAGAACAACTTTTGAATGTAGCAAGAGCTGTGGATGATAGGTGTGTTCGTGGCTCTGCCATGGTGCGTTGATCACCTGCATAAAAAATTGGTAATGTTTTTATACAGATTAGCTCTTTGGTAAACCATGCATTAAAAAAGAGGTGACATAGTATTTCTTTTCCATGTGCGTATATAGAAATCTGCTAGTGGTAAGAATGTTGTTAAAGCTTGTTAGGAAGATGTACTTCTGGAGGGGACTGGTTGTGATTCTTGGTGTTTATGAAAAATGTAGCTGTTTTTTGGGGGGGGAGGGTTATTGTCTGTTGTAAACTGGTAGGAGTTTACAGTATGTTGGATGGATTTTTCTTGTATCATGTTTGTGAAATGAGGAAAACCAACAAACTATTTTTTCTAATAAAGCCAACTGCACGTTCAGCTAAAGGGCTGAATAGCGAAGAACATGTATTACCCTTAAGATTTTCCCTCATTGGTGTTTTCATGCGATTTATTTCCCTTCTGATTGTTATATGCAGGTTTTCAGGAGTGTAATGAACTTACCAAATTTGTCTAATTTGAGTTAGTACTTTTAATACCTGCAGGACTACTGATTGAACAAAGTTCTGTGTGGTCATTTTCAGTAATGTTGAACCTTTATTGTACTGTAATCACAGACACTATTTGGTTTGGTAAAGCAAAGACATTTTATTTTATTTAAATAATGATGTCTGTATTGCCATAGACACATGGGATGTGATTTCAAAAGTAGGCATGCAGTGTGAAAATGAAGATCGTGTTGGCTTTCAATAGAGCCGATTTTTACTTTTGGTTAGCTGGGGATCTTTGAAACCTTGCTCTTAAGAGAAGGATATGCTGTTTCGCTGTTAGAGGAAATAACGGATTTCTGTAAGTAGTACTAACAGTGCAGTTAAAGCAGAATGCTAATCACTTAATGCTAATGGCTTATTAATTTGTTCATACTAATGCACACTTACATTTAAATTTTGCAACATCATAAAATATCATGTTACTTGCTTAGCGTTAAATGGCAAGATCATTGCTTGTGCTGGTGGTGGCTGTATGCAACAGTGAGCAGACTAAGACTGAATCAAGGGAGAAATAATTTTTCTTAAGGCACATAATCACCTCATGAATGCTGATTTTGTCAACATTTGAGGTTGTTCCTTACAGCTGTGATTTGTTTTCCTGTTCTCCCACAGAGGTGATACTGAAGGATCTCTTACAGTGATGAATGTTCTGGTTCTGTTTCACCTTCACTGTAAGCTAAAGCACAGGAGATTGAAGAAAAAATCTGAAGGAGGTTATGCAGTAGAGAGGACAGGGTACCCTCTGGTAGTCTAAAGTATAAACCAGTTTCAGAATCAGTGCAGTATAGAAAAATGTCAGGAAAGAGGTTACAGAATCACAGGACAGCTGAGGTGGGAAGGAATGTCTGGAGATGACTTAATCTGATGTCCTGCTCGGAGCAGGCTGCTCGGGGCTGTGATCAGACTGGATTCTGGGTTATCGCCAAGGTTGGAGACTCCATATCCTTGCTGGAAAGCCTGTGCCTGTATCCGACTACCCTCAGAGTTACACATTATCTTGTATAACAAATGCTCCAGTCCCTTCATTGTCTTAATCATTATGGAGATCTGTGTGAGAGAGAGACTGAAGAATGATTCGTGTAGATCTGGTCAAGGACAGTACGTTTCTATTTGGCAAGAAGTAAGAGAGAAAGCAAAATAAATTAAAGCCAAAACTATCTTAATAAATTTGAATGTTAAGTACGATAGCAGACTTTTTAAGGGGAGTTGAGAAAAAAACAAGAATGAAATACATATTGATCAATTTGATGTAATTAGAAGATACTGTGAAGATGAGATTGGGTAACTAAATGGAAGCCAAGGTAGTAAGAGGTTTAGGAAATTGTAGCATCAGTTGATAATTGAACTTGTGGATTAGATGGGTTCATTACAGAGGGAATAAGGGAGGATAAAATGGTCCTCAGAGCTACTGGTGGGGAAAAGGGAGAAGATACAGTCTCAGATGACATTCTGAGACTTACGGTGAACAGGAGAACCAGGATATGCAAACAGAAGGAACAGCGGTCGGAGGAAAGAGCGATGGAGCGTGTTTGGTACAGGCAGCACCTGACCGAGTAGGCGGTGCGTAAGAGAGTTGGTGGTCATGATATTGTGAGGCTAAAAATGCTCCCAGTGAATGGATGCGTACGTTCAGTTTGGCTAATGTAAATGAATTCCCCACCCATGGTTAAAAGGATGGTCAGAACTCTGTACTATTAATCACAAGTTGGTTGAAGTACACTTGTGAGTATTGTTGAGGAGAAACTGGAAGTGGCCATATTGTCACTAGCAATAGCTAAGAAAGGTCTGCTACAAAATGGTGTTCTTTTTAATGCTTTGTAGTGTCTTGGCTATAGTTTTGAGTCTATCCTACAACAGCACCGTCGTGATACTGACCTACATTTGTTTGCCTTTTTGGCTGCTTAGTAGTGTAGCCACTAATTTGTAGCAGTCTTTGTAGATTTTGTAGTGTTCAGTTATTCCCTCACTGGAATTAGCTGGGAGTAAATTCCTCTAGGAGCATTTTGAGTGGAATCTTGAGATTGCCTTCAGTGTTGATTTTTTTTTTTTTTTTTTTTTAAGTCATAGAAGTTCTATTTAATCAGTATGGTTAATCATTTGTCTTTCTCCAATCTGAAATTCTTAAAAAAAACCTAAATGGTAAAACATTGCATGGGATTTTGTATATCATTACATGTGAGCGAATTTTATGTTGAGATAAATCAGTGGACCTCTGTAGAAGCTGCAGGTTTATTTGAGAACTTTGCCAATAGTAGACATCTGTCAACTTCATAAATGGTTTAATAAAAAATATTGTAATATTCTGAATTGGTTTTATTGTTGAAGGCAATCTTTCGTCTGATAATGTATCAAATATCCATCCTCTCCCATTTTTTTCTAGTTGTCATGGATGATGACGATGATGAATCCTGTCTCCTTGATCTTATTGGGTAAGTTTTCCTTAAGCAATTCTTTCAGAAAAGTTCAGAAAAAGAGTTTTGCAAAATAATCTTCTAGAAGGGTGATCCTGTCTCAGTATTGTCTCAAGAGTAGGTGACTTGCAAATGAAATGAGTAGCTATGCTTTGCTTCCTCCATGTGGAGGTGCCTGTATCAAAGCCTTCAATCCAGGTGTATACTGACAGTCCACTTGCTGGCATTCTCCTCAAGAGAGACTAAGGAATGAGCGTGCATGGAGGTTGGATGCTCTTCTCAGCTAGTGGTAATATCAGGTCAGTGTTGAAGCACAATGCTAGAGGTGTCGTTACAAAGTTCATTGCAAAGAACTGTTTTTTTTTGATTAAAAAAATAAAGATCTTGTTTTTTTGAGTAGTGGAACTAGATGCTTTGTTAACACTATGCTTGTATTTTAAAGGGAAAAGTAAAATTATTCTTTTCTTGATTATAAATACTTATACTAATAACATGCATTTGCATAAAAATTTTAGAAAAATAGAATTTCTACCCAGTACTGTTAAGTATTCACAGCAAACAAGAACTTATCAGCATTTTGCTCAAAGATACTTGATTTTAATAAAATTGGGGATTTTAAATGGTCCTGAGTTGTGGTTTTCTTTGCCTTATTTCCTTAACAGATTTGGAGGTTTATGATTCCATTTAGGAATCTCAAAAAATAATTAGGATAGCTGAAGCCTGAGCAAGGTTTTTGTGATTGTATATGTGACAAGTTACGTTCCCTTGGCTAACATTCATGTCATTATTCAAGAACAAATGATATGCTATAGTACATTTAAAACATAAGAAGAAAATTGAACATTTCATATACAATACTTTGCTCAAACAAGTGATCCTGCCCCTGTACTCGGCACTGGTGAGGCTGCACCTGGAATATTGTGTCCAGTTTTGGGCCCCTCGCTTTAAGAGAGATATTGAGCTCCTGGAGCGAGTCCAAAGAAGGGCGACTAAACTGGTCAAGGGGCTGGAAAATAAAACTTATGGGGAGCGGCTGAGGGAGTTGGGGCTGTTTAGCCTGGAGAAGAGGAGGCTGAGGGGAGACCTGATTACAGCCTACAAATACTTGAGAAGGGATGGTGGGGAGGTGGGGGAAGGGCTCTTTACATTAGTGATGAGTGATGGGACAAGAGGAAATGGATATAAGCTTAGTCAGGGGAGGTTCAGGTTGGATGTTAGAAAGTATTTCTTCTCTGAAAGGGTTGTCAGCCACTGGAATAGGCTGCCCAGGGAGGTGGTTGAGTCCCCATCCCTGGATGTGTTTAAGAAAAGGGTGGATGAACTGCTTAGGGATATGGTTTAATGGGGGATTAGGGACGGTTGGACTGGATGATCTCTAAGGTCTTTTCCAACCTAGAAATTCTATGAAATTCTATATCAGTCTCATAGCAGCTACTAAAGGATCGTCTCCATACAAGAATTTTTACTATCTTAAATGTAGTAAATAAGTGGGCCTTTTACCTTTCTCATGCACTCAAAGCTTCTTGTGAAACCAATGAGAGCTTTAGCTTCAGTAGAAGCCAAAATACCACCACAGAGGCTGTTGTAATTTGGAAGTTACTCTGTGGATGCTACAGAAAAGCATCGCCACTAATGGCTCACAGTTATATTATGTGAAGTATACTGTGCAGGATTACTGATTGTAGCCGTGTGAAAACGGCTTGGAAAATCCTACTTGGAACGTAAAGATGATAATTAACTGCGTGGGACAATTAAGTGCTCTGTCATGAGCATGAATCACGAGGATCCTGGTGCAAGTTCACAGGTGACCCAGAAAATGAAGTGCTCTCTATACAGATGAGTGTTTGTGTGAAAAATTACGGTGTTCTTCCTGCTGCTGGCAGCAATTACTGTCTTAAGCATCTAGAAGAATGGAAACCAGCATTTTTTTTTCCATCTGATCTTTGATTTTGGTAAGTGCCTTCTAAAATTTCTTCCTTGCTAAAGACAATATTTAAGGTGATGAGTGTTCTTAATTTTTAATTGAATTTTTCGTTATTTAAAGCCTGTGAGTGTAATTAATATTAAATGGCCTGGTTATTTATCGATAAAACTCATAAGCATGATAAAGCCCTATATGAACTCATGAGTTCTGTTCTCCTTAATTCTTGAAATTTAGTGTAATATGCTATGAAAATGACATTTTCGTTTGCAAATATATGTAACCGCTTCTATGTTGTAAGCATAATTGTACCATAACGTCCCAGCCAAGTACTGTCTAACACGTCTTTTGTAAACACACAAATGCAGTTTATTTTTTTTTACATGAAAAAAAGAGGAATAGAAGTGTATTTGTGCTTTTAGAAGACTAGTTGTAAACCTGAAAGATTTTTAACTTATTCCCTCTTTATTTTCTAGGATGATCAACAGAGAAGGAGAGATGTTTTGAATTGGTGGTTTTTTACACCTGAATCTCCTGCTTCTCAAAAATGTTTTATTATTACTTGTTAATCAATAAAGATATATCAAAAAACTCCATGTTACTTTATGCTTCATCCTAATGGAGAAGTTGGGAAATGCTGTATAATTGTATTAAAATAATCCCATGTAACACAGCCTTTTAATGTTTTTTACTTGGTCTATATATGCAGTCACATTAATGTATTTTTGATTTTTTTGAATTTCCAACATTCATTCTATCAGACCACATTTTTAATCTGAGTTTTATTCAGTAATAGTGCTAAGTTAATGAAATACACTGAAACTGTATTTCATAATGGTTGATTTCACTTGGAAAAGGTGCTGCTTTTTTCTCCAGGTGAAGGGATTGTTACTCTGGCAAGCATAACTTTTTGTTGACTTATGTTAAGGAATGCAGAAAACATCTTAAAGATTCAAGTTTGTCAATAGGGTATTTTTGTTAACTAATGTTAAGAGTGGCAGAAAACGTGTTGAAGATTCAGGTTTGTAAATATCCTGTTGACTTAGACACTAGCTAAGTAGGCATTATAGTTCATCTCTGTAGAAGAGATGGTACCTGTTGCAGTGATCTTGTTATTTAGTGATAGTTAGTGTTTTCCTTAGGTTTTGTACTATGTGCTGTCATAAAAATACTGTGTGTCTCAGGACAATATGAGTAATACCCTCATAAAGGGAAGTAAAGTAGACCGCAACTAGAATTTTGTGGTGAACATAGTTATTGCTTGAAATACCTTGGTGCAATGACAGCAAATGTGATCAACATCTGAAAATTGTGCTCATACAGAAACACAGATCCTCAGATGGTATGAGCTTTCAGCTTTGCCTTGGAGTCAGTGGAAGAAATGTGTTTTTACTATAAACCTGATTTAGATGAATATCTGACTTAGTTAAATTAGCCTCGTTAGCAGAAAGAGCTTCCTAAAAGTGGTAACTGTTTTGTTTGTTTCTTTTTCCCCCTCCTTAAGGGACCCACAGGCGCTGAATTATTTTCTAC